ATGGGTTACAGCCGTGGGCCACGATGTTGATCCGTTAAATAAACAAACAAAAAACAAAAACAAATATACACACACACGAACTCAGACAGACACACACAGACATACACATACATGCATACACAAGTTATAGGTGCATACAATTACACATATGTACATACAGAAACACACACAGACATACACACTAACACACACACAGAGACACTGTCACACCAGACGCACACATATACACATATAGCATAGATGAATACACACACGTGTACAAACTGATACACACACAGACATACACACACATATATACACCCAGACACACACACACACATCTAGGCACACGCATACACACATAAGGTATAGATGCCTACAGAAACATAAGTACACACAGACACATACAGCTACACACACACGCACCCACAAAGATCATGCTGCATAGGCAACATATGGTCTATGCAATATTGCCAAGGCTTTAAAATATTATGGATATGTTATTTTGTTTTATACGTATTTTTTCGTTAAAAAGGTTTCTATAAATATGGTTATGAAGCACGATCTGATATCTAACCGGATATTCCCAAATAGACAAAAGTGACCTGGAAATCCCAGGTCAGGTTCGGGAAATCCCGTATGATTACAACTTGAAAGTCATCAACAATATCATAATACTTGGACACGTCGAACTCTTTATATATAAATAGCTAAAGTCTGACGTGTCCGAAACCTGCGGACTCATGTCCCTCAAGAACAGACGCGCACGCATGGTATGGCAGGTAGGTCTCAACTGTTTGTGTTTGTTTATTTGTTTGTTTTAAGTGGCAGCGGCTCTCTGGTAGGACTACAAAGAGTTTCACTTTGTTGAATTAGGTTAGAAGGAAGCCATCCTACACAAATGTATACACTTATCCCTGATTAGCACGGCTTACATTCATTTTTGAAAAAAAAAGAGATTGCGTCGTAAATTATGTAATATATTTGTATGATGAAGATTAAAATTCCCAAATCATAAAAGCATATTTATTCAATTTGCCACAATAGCCTGCTGGCTACTGATATAATTAATAATTCTTCTTCTTCTTCTTCTTCTTCTTCTTCTTCTTCTTCTTCTTCTTCTTCTTCTCTTTCTTTTGCGTTCATCCAACGATGTAATTGCGTTGTGTCCGTTTACAGCATGGCTGCAATATTTGCACCTTTTGTTCCTTCTCATAACATGCCCACAAACTATTTCCTGTACACATCTAATACATTTACGACTTTTGTCTGACTCGATGAGGACATCCTCGTTTGTTTGCTTATCCTTCCATGAAGTTGTTTGCATTCTTCTCAGAAACCACATCTCTGCCGCGAGTAAATAGTTTTTCAGCTTTCTTTTTACTTGTTCTTGTTTCACATGCACATAACTATACAGTTTCTGCGTAGCACTTGAACACTCTCTTTCTCACATGACATCCTCTTATTTGGAACTATCTTGTGCAACTTGCTACTGAAGGCCGTTTTTGCTGTGGCGATTCTTGTTTACTACAGAAGATGTTACCATCGGTTCACCTTGAATTTGCTAGCATGGGCTTTCATTTATTTTTGGATTAAAGGGGGGGGGGGGAAATAGTTGATATCCATGTGTTCAATAATGTCCAATATCTGTCTTCCGCAGAGATGGACAGCACATCCGACACACCGGACTTAGTCACTCAAGACAGCACATCCGACACACCGGACTTAGTCACTCAAGACAGCACATCTGACACACCGGACTTAGTCACTCAGGACAGCATATCCGACACACCGGACTTAGTCACTAAAGACAGCACATCTGACACACTGGACATAGTCACTCAGGACGGCACATCCGACACACTAACCCTGGCCAGAAAAGACCGGGAGAGTCAAGGTTGGTTCGTTTTTTTTTTTGGTCACTAGGTAAATTCGTTAGTTTTTCAATGTGTCTACCTGAAACGAAATCCTGCAAACATAGAAGTGAATGGACTATAATTAATCATCATCATCTTTGTGAACTATTTATCCCTCAGATTGATAAGACTCAGATCAGGAGCATGTCATGGATTTTCTGTCCAGGAAATTCACGTGTGCGAGGTAACGAGCAGGCTGATAGGTTAGTTGCTGCCACTCCTCTGAGCGACGAGTTACTTTAGGATAAATAAACAGAGGGGGGAACCATTTGAAGCCGTTAAATATTATGAATTAATCAAGTAACAGAAAGTATTGTGAACGGCACTCATAGAAAGAAGTAGAAAGATAGAAGAACACACTAGACAACATAAAAATCGAAAGCTATAGTTACCGTGCCGGGAATTGAACCTGTCACCTCCAGACGGCGTCTGCGCCTCGCCATGAATACAAGTGCACTGTTTATTTATAGGAATGACGTATACACACCGGAACCTACCAATCAAATACCTTTCTTAAATGTTTGTGTATTCTAGACAGGGCAATAAGGTCTACTGTGTACGTAAATTGTTGCTGTGATTGTTATTTGACATTTGCCTCGTTAATATAAATTTCTGTAACCTATGGTGCCATTTCAATGGGTTGAAATGAATTCTGTCCGTATTCCATAGTCGTGGATTTCAAGCTGTACGATAGACATGGCCAATGAGACACCTTTTTTGGGGGTGCCGAGTTGACCATGTATCTTAGTGCACTTGTATTCATGGCGAGGCGCAGACGCCGTCTGGAGGTGACAGGTTCAATTCCCGGCACGGTAACTATAGCTTTCGATTTTTATGTTGTCTAGTGTGTTCTTCTATCTTTCTACTTCTTTCTATGAGTGCCGTTCACAATACTTTCTGTTACTTGATTAATTCATAATACTTTAGGATAACGTGGATATGGAGAAGGCTTTATAGGATTAAATGGGCAAAGCGATAGAAAGACAGAAAATCAATTCAATGGAAGACTAATTCAACGGGAGGTGTGTAGAGGTTCTGGAAGATAGTCAACATTGAAAGGAGAACAGAAGCCGACTTTTAAGCAAGTTACTGCTGCTACTTTTAGCATGTCGAGTCGTTTGTTGGCTACTGAAGACGGGGAGGTGCACGTGTGGGAATGTCTCGAGTGCAGGGATGTCAGTTCTTCATTCATTAATTTATCCCCTCACATCGGGATCACAATCTGTTTATTCATGTTCTCATAATCGGTACAATTCGGTCGAAGTCATAGATGGAATCTAGTCCTTACCTTTCTTCTCTCCCAGAAGAATTAATAGTGGACGTGTATATGCAGTACTGAATCCACTTGCATTCCATGCGTTTGTGTTTTAGCTTAATTTTCACATTATAGGTGTTTGTGTCAACATTCTGTGCTTTATAGAAAACGTACAGTTGTCATATGACCGATGCGTGTTCGGAAAGATAGAACTTAAAACGGGTGCCACATTTGTGGAAGCATTTGGAAATAAGGTTTCGTCGTTCATTTTTTTAAATTATTGTTTGTGTTGATAGTTTCACTTAGGCGCCTTTGTCACCTAATTCCATCCTCTAATATTGGATGGCCTGTTCATTTCTCTGCCCAATCCTCCATGATATGTCCTAAATATCTTCACTTTCTTTATCTTGCAACTGTTGACCCAAGTGGTTGTCCGGACACTTCTATTATTTCCTCCTCTGACTTTAATGAGCTTCATCAACAGTCATATTTATTATATAATATAAATGAAAGGAAGACGGTGTTGAAAGAGTAGGTCACCTCACCAGCTAGAGTCAAGACTCCAATATTATTATCTTACCCTGTTCACAATGCAGCCTAGTACATCATAATAGAAAAAAACGCACAATGAACAACTGTGCAGAAATGTACTTGGTCAGTTATTTATGGAGAGAAATGTCCTTGGTCAAACATGTATAAGGAGAAATGTCCCTGTTCAGATATTTATAGAGATAAATTTCCTTGGTCAAAATTTTTTGGAGAAAAATGTCCTTGGTCAGATATTTATGGAGAGAAGTGTCCTTGGTCAGATATTTATGGAGAGAAATGTCCTTGGTTAGATATTTACAGAAAGAAATGTCCGTGGTCCGATTTTAATGGAGAAAAATGTCCTTGGTTAGATATTTACAGAAAGAAATGTCCTTGGTCAGATTTTAATGGAGAGAAATGTCATTGGTCAGATATTTGTAAAGAGAAATGTCCCTGCTCAGATATTTATGGAGAGAAATGTCCTTGGTCAGATATTTATAGAGAGAAATGTCCTTCGTAAGATATTTCTAGAGAGAAATGTCTTTGGTCAGATATCTTTAGAGAGACATGTCTTTGGTCAGATATTTATGGAGAGAAATGTCCTTAGTCAGATATTTATAGAGAGAAATGCCCTTGGTCAGATATTTACGTAGAGAAGTTCCACAAAACATATATGTATAGGAAGAAATATGGTAGGATAGATGTGTTTGGGAAATGGCATATGTCATAAATGCATGGGGAGTCATGTCATACGAAAGATATCTAAGAAGAGTCAAATGTCACTTTAAATGTGAAAATTAATTTGAAAATTCCGATGTGTATCGAAAGGCATTTCATAGTTCATGTATGTATGGGGAGAAAGTCAAAGGCATGATGTGCATAGCAGGATATATAGACGACAAATAAGACATATGTTGTTATAGATATTCTGTAGATGGTTATCGTGTTGTTATGTGTGGTTGTTATAGTGGTAGCTGTAATTGTATGTTGATGATGTAATATTGTCCATGACAAGATGTCCCGTATCTGTCTACCAGGTCCATGGGAGTTTGAGTACAGTTATGGGGGAGAGCGTGACCTTCACAGACATTACACCAGGTGTACGAAGAATCCCGGTCACAAGAACTTTATACCTGTAGACAAGTTCTGTATAGAAGATCTCCCCGAAGATTACCGTGACAAGGATATATTCAATTATATCCGAGCAGTGTCAGACCTGACAGTTCGTGTAAAAGTCGAGTGTGTCAGTGACAAGAGACCAGGCTACAGTAACATAGCTCGGCAAAGAGCGACAGTAGGGACTGGATTTTTGAGCTCTGTAGACATGTACAATGATCTTGTGATACCTGATACTTGCAGATGTAAGGCGTGTAAGAATTCTTCTGTGCCGGAGAAGATCTTTGCCGTAATTAACATATACACAGCAGCCCACGTTGTATTTGATGACCTTGAGGCAGAACACACCACGTGCCATTTGTTCTTTGATAAAGAAGGTATTCCAGACACTTGTAGTGGTGTCGTCGCACTGAATGGCTTTTACCGTTGGGCAGGGAATCATTATGAAGATCATTGTCGTATTGAGCACCATACCCATGACATGGATCTTGTACGTAGACTTAAGCAAGCGTGGCAAAAAATGCATGAACTCAGATTTATAGTCTGCAGTAAAATACCTCGGATGGTTAAGTTCAAACAGAGGCTGGGTGTTCGAGACAGACAACCATTGTTATTTCTGGTGTCCCACCCTCACGGATGTAGCAAGCAGGTCAGCATAGGTCGCTTCACAGGTGCAGAAATGATTTACAGTAATATCATTTCCTTCCTGTACAACACAGCAACGTGCCCAGGTTCTAGTGGGGCTAAGATGTGTATACTGGCGGAATTTGCAGTCACAACATCCTTGGTAATGTTAAGCAGAAGATTATTGTTAATGACTTGTATTCAAGCTCACTGTGCCGCTTCTGACGCACTGCTTGGGGTCAACTGTAGTCGCGTCCTCGAAGGTAATTACACTCTAATTAGATATGTTTACATTGCAATAAACTCTTTTATACAGATTACACTCTGTTTATATATGATTACATCGCAATAAACTGTTGTGTAAAGATGAAGTATGGAACATTTTTACAGGTAAACAAAAACGTGCCTGCATGACTTAGATTAAATATTTGAAGATAAACCATGGTCTATATGTTTTTCTAAATTATTTTCGTCTCCAATCCCTGCTCTGCTATACATTGTTTTTAATACTTTCTATCTCCAATCCCTGCTGTGACTTCCAGTGACCGGTTGTCAAGAGACATCCGGTGCAAGCCTGGGAATGTGCACACGCATCTGTTACGGCCTTAGATATTCCATCTATCCAACGCTTGTGGGGTCGGCCCCTAGCTCTACTTCCAGTTTATCTAAGTGACAGATCTGAGGGGAACTATTATTTGACAGTCTTCATACATGTCCGAATCATTTCAAATATTGTCTATTGATAGAGTTTAGCACTGTTTCAGTTTTCGCTTGTTTTTTCTGATGGCATCGTCTCTGTTTCTGTCCCATTTTGTTACATTTGGGATTCGTTGTAGACATTTAATGTCTGTTGTTTGAATTCTTCTGTTCACATCAGCCTGGAAAGGCAATAACAGAGGCGAATGTAGATTGATGTTTAGTGAGCTAACAGAATATTGAATGATGCATGCATTGAACAGTGTCGTTATGGCAAACGGTTCTGAGGTTTTCGTTTGTGACACATAATTGAGAAATCTATTTGTTTTTCCACTTTATCGCTCCTTTATAAAGAAAGTCAAATGTTTTCAGAGCAAAAAAGTTTCAAATGTTTTCAGAGCAATAAACGTAGATGCATATGAAATAGGTGACCAAAAAAAATGTAGTAATGTGAATGATAATTTATTTTGTTATAATAAGGTAATGGTTGTAAGGTTAATTTACATTTTTAGAAATGATTTTTAACATATACATTTTTTTTACAGCTGATTCACCAACCTTCTGGGTATCTCCGAAACTGCTTCAGAAGAATAAAGGTTGGTTATGTTTACTGTGTATTTATATACAGAAAGATGTTGCTGTTATGTAATGTGTAAGTTTATCTGTAGATGGTTGCATAAAATATCTAAGTCAATCTATGGGATGTTATAGTTAGTAGCAAATTGTATAAGTCAATCTATGGGATGTTATAGTTAGTAGCAAATTGTATAAGTCGATCTCAGAGATGTTATAGTTAGTAGCAAATTGTATAAATCAATCTATGGGATGTTATAGTTAGTAGAAAATTGTATAAATCAATCTATGGGATGTTATAGTTAGAAGCAAATTGTATAAGTCGATCTGTACAATTTGTGGCATGAATTTACACATATTTTAGTGCAACAGCTGGTATGAAATACAATCTTCCATCTATAACAGAGTGGGATCCAACAGGTAACAGTTGTCCAATTCATCAATGATAAAAGTATTACTTATTGACATTACTACGGCAGACGTGGTTAGTGCCTTGTGGGAGAGCGCGTATAGTTCGGAGGAGCAGATAGATCACCACAGTCTGGTGAGATTAATGCAGGGGGGAGTGACAGATGCTCGAGGCTCAGAGAAAAGGCAAGACGGACGTTAAACCAGACCTCATACTGGCACCAATAATATCGGAACTCTTCGCTGGCTTCTGAAGATGGGGACGGGGCGCTTATGGGAATGCCCCAGGTGCCGTGATGTCGGTTCTTGAATCAAATGAAATCAAATTAAATCATTACTATAACACTTGAGGACATTCTGACTGTAACAAAAACTTGGTATCTAGTCAAATCACACACACACACACACACACACACACACACATACATACATACACACACATAAATATCATCATCATCATCAAGCACCTTGTCAACTGTCGTAGCGATCATCCCTCCCCACAATCGTGTTGTCATCTCTTCATGGCCTAACAAAATGCTGTCAAAAATATTCTTGCATTGTCTTCCTCTGTCTTTCTTTCCATAGATCTTTCCAGCGGTAATAACATGTTCCAGTTTTCTCGTTCTCATAACATGACCACAAAATGATGTCTGCCTCTTTCGGCTGTTTGTGATAAGTTGTCTTCGGACACTCGCCTCTTTAAAACATCTGGGTTGCTCTTTTTGGCTTTTCAGGGAATTCTAAGGATTCTTCTGTAAAACCACACCTCCAAGGGCTGAAGAAGTGGTTTGCCTTATTTTATTAATTGTCTAGGATTCACAGCCGTATGAAAAAACTTGCTCTATATAGCGTGCGGTAATTCTTTTCCAAATCTCTAATGACATGGATTTATTGCATAAAATGATCTTTATTTGTTAATATGCAGTTTTAGCCTGTCCTATTCTATTCTTTATCTCTGTGATGCATCTTTCGTCGGATGTTTCCTGTGTGCCTTGATACCTAAATTTCTGTCTTGTCTTGTCTTGTCTTGTCCACAATTGCCTCACAGCGTAGTGGGGAGTCGCAGTTTTCTATCCTGGGCCAGGTGTGTTGCACGTGTTGTTGTTAGTCCGTGTTGCCTCAGGATCTCTGATATATTGTCTATCCATGTTACTCTCGGTCTGCCTCTTGCTCTGGGGCAGTAGTGCTGTTCGTTGTATGCTCGTAGAGGCAGTTGGTCGGTTTGCATTCGCATCAAGTGGCCAAACCACTGTATTTGTTGCTTTTTTATGTATTGCAGGCATGGTGTGGTTCCTACAATTGATCTAATGTTCTCGTTTCCAACTCTGTCTCTCCTTGTGACATTGGCAGCCTTACGTAAGCATCTCATTTCGCACGTCGTGATCTTTCTCTCCTGTGCTCTTGTTAGGGACCAGGTTTGGCATTGGTAGCAGAGGGTTGGTATAAACAAATTTCTGTACTCGTCTAAAATAACTCCATTAGCTTCTATTATAAACTAGCTGTACCCGGCCACTCGGTGCTGTGGCTTAGTTTGGCTAAATGGAAAAGACAGAAAATAGAAAGAGCACTAGTAAATTCTCAATCACTGTCTGCGCAGATAAAAAGATAGTCTGGTTTTGCGGACTCATGAACACATAACATACAGTTGTGTCTTTATATAAGTGGTCGTTTAAAAGGTATTATTAGGAACCCCTTTCTCTCCCCCCCCCCCCCCCCCCCCCCCCCATGTAATGTCTCTGTCACATGCAAAAAAAAAATTTTAGTATTTTTTTTGGGGGGAAAGCTAGGAAAAAAGCTTACTACTGTACTTTTAAAAAAGCAACGAATTCTCAACAACAAAATCAACAATAACAAAATAAAAAAAAAAAAAATAAAGTGAGAATAGCGTAAGTAAAATACAAAATAAGTAGGAAATTACCATTTGAAAATCATGTATTGAGCTGTCTAAGTTAACACCGCACCCCCCCCCTCCCTTCCCCTCCCGCCCCAATCTACCGACTACTTCAGTCTCTCGCTCTCTCTCTCTCTCTCTCTCTCTCTCTCTCTCTCTCTCTCTCTCTCTCTCTCTCTCTCTCTCTCTCTCTCTCTCTCTCCGAAGACTGAAATTCATCACGTGACGAAATTGTTTATAATTGGCTGTGGCCTCCATGTCCACCCAGACTAAAATGGGTAGCATGCATGGTAAAGAAACGTAAATGCGGCCAATTTAATATTTACCACATCAACCATCAAGTACCATTACAACTACTACCACCACTTCCACAACAACAACTAAAATAATGTCACAACTGTCTGGTGTACCACCTTTCTAGGTCGGTGTAGACAATGGGTCGTGAGCCAGAGGATGTAGCGCCCCATTCCGGTTACTGTGACAGTAAGCTATCTCATTTATAAGTTTTTGGCATTTGATTAAATGCGACTCCACTCAAAAGAAATGCATAGAAACTGCGCGGAAAATGTTTGGAAAAGCCGGTAAACAGTATGAATCCATTCTGTGAACCACTCGCCACCTATTTCAAACTACGACAAGTGGCATCCCGACATCAACATTAGCATGTCCTGTTCAATATTTTCCGAGTCTATAGGTAACAAACAGACAAACGTTGTGTTTGAAATATATAGATATATAGATCGTAATAATAATAAAACATGCTAGACAATATTATACAGTGTGTGGTAGAGGCGTTAAGAGAAAGCTAACAGATAATGTTTAGACATTTTGCAGTGCGAGATATAAGGAGTTGTTCACACTTGTTTAAAGTTAACCAGTCAAAATATGTAACCGAAAAAAATGCACTTACCTTTTGCTAAATTAATTGTATTTCTAGATTCTAACACAACTCTCCTTCTTCTTCTTTCGTTCGTTTGAAATAAGTTGTCTATATCAGCAGTTTTGTCTCTTGTATAAATTTCACGGTTGTGAGTTCATTCAGTGGTCCATAGAGTTTACGTTCCACTGTTGTTCTTTCTGACCAAAAGGTTTGCATTAATGTATCAAATTCGGTGCAGTCCTGGAGTACATGCTCTGCTGTCCGGGGCACCTTTCCACAGGTGCACATGGCTGATGCACCTATCTTGAATTTTGTGAACATGTTGTAACGTAATTGGTTGTGCCCTGTTCTGAGGCGGAGGATGATGACTTGTAACACAACTCAAAACCGCGGGCAATTGTATTCTCATAACATAGATCAATGAAGTAACTTCAAGTAATAATGAAACTTCCCAGCTCATGATAGTAACTACCGACGGTCCCGGTCTAGCCTTTTGTTCCAATTATACGGCTCTTAAATCTTTTTGAAATCAAAATGTAATTATTCTGGTTGTCGACATCATCGCCAGGACTGTTTCAAGCCCACCATCGTCAAGTGTGGTGTTTGAACCAGGTCTTATGAATTTTCATATTATGTGACTTATCTAAACTGTAAACCTTTCTCCTCGCTCATTATTTTCTCCAAGGCCATAGCCACCAACTACTCCACACACTTTTTCACTTCCAAATTCTGCAATAAGTCGTCCATTATTATTGTTTCTCCAAATTTTTTACAGATCAAAAGTCATATCTAAATCATTACACTATTATTCAATGGCCACAGAAAGACTTTTTTCACAAACCAAGAAGCAAAGGAAGATCACAGTTTATTTAATTAATTTGTGAAAATACTTTCTAAAATAAGTAAATAATTTAACATTTCTAACACTCTTCCTGATAAGTGGAACAATTTCCTTACTTCGGTGCCAATTCTACTTATCCAAACTCCACTGTATCAGGGGTAAAAAAGTTATACAAAACGGCAGGTTACATCTATATTCTGAACAGCATATCAGTTTGGGTCTTCATAGTTAAGCTAAATATGACATTATGATAAAACCGCTTGATACATCACCATAATTATATGTAAAGGGTTTAGACGAATGCCACTGAGAAGGAGAATAAACCAGACAAACAGCACACGAATATTTCTCATTGAAAACCTGCAACAGGATGTTGAAATATACACCGTCAGTATTGGAACTTTGCTGCTGGCTGCTGAAGATTTAGGACGGAGCACGTATGGGGATGCCCGGAGTGCTGTGATGTCAATTCTTAACTGAACTCAAATCAACACACGCATCTGGCAGTATTGTAGACAGAGAGGGGGGACAGACAGAGAAGTCATCATCATCATGTAGCAGGTATTTTGCAGAACTTCGCCCTCATGACAGTCTGCCTGAAAGAAGCTCGGTCTCTCGCTAGCTCTCCCGCCTAATGAACTTTCATACTCAAGGAGTCACTTATATCCTGTGCCCATCTTCTTGTCGGTCGACCCCTGCCCCTCCTTCCTGGTACCATGCCTTCTGCTATAATTTTTTTCCAATTCGTCGTGGCGTTTGATATGACCAAAATATTTCAGCTTCCGAGAAGGATGCTGTTTAATAACCAATCTTCCTTAATGTTCAGATCTTTTAAGATGTCATTTTTTCTTCTCTTCTTTTTCCAAGATATTCTGAGAATCTTTCCATAGCATTTCAACTCAAAAGCCCCTATTCTCTTTCTTAAGGACTGAGAGATAGTCCACGACTCACATCCGTATGTAGCCACAGGGAAGATGCATGCTCTCAAAATTCTAATTTTTTTTTCACCTTGCTGGTGCTTAACAATAAACTTTTAAGGTTGTTCAATCTTTGCATTGCTATGGCCATCCTCCTTTTCATTTCTGTCGAACAGTCTCAATTGTTGTTTATTACAGAGCCTAGATATTCAAAGTTTGTGACATTTTCAATTTCTTCATCTTTTATTGTTTATTTTTTGGTGACAGCCATATTTTATATGTGGGCATTATTTTCGTTTTCTTTAAATTCAAAAACAGATTTTGATCTTCACTGTGCTTTTGGACAGACAATGTTACATTTTCTTTTCCTTTTACGCTGCTTGAAAGAAGGACTTTTCCATCTGCGAGAAGTAATGGAATAGGGTTGCCACCAATTTTGAGCGGATCATAACTGTCACAAGTCTGGTCATTTTTGACATTTCTCATTATATTTTCTGCGTATATACTGAATAGGTATGGTGAGAGAATGCACCCCTTCCTCACCCCCTTTTGCACTTCTAACCAATCAGATGTTTCACCAGCTGCTCTGATGGCTGCTTGTTGTTCATGATAAAGATTTTTTTATTAAATGCACTAAATGGGCTGGAAACTCCTTACTTTTCATAATAGTCCACAGTTTGTAATGTTGTTTACAATCAAATGCCTTGCTATAATCAATAAAACAAGCGTAAAAATCTACGTTGTACTGTCTGAATTTTTCAAAAATTATTCTTATTTTAAAGATGTGATCCCTAGTTCCTCTGTCCTGTCTGAAACCCGCTTGTGCTTCATCTAGCTCATATTGTAATTTCCCTTCAATCGTTTTCATGATAATTCGTAAGAGGATTTTGCTAGCATGACTTAATAATGCGATGGTACTGTAGTTGGAGCATAGTTTTGGATTTCCTTTCTTTGGGAGAGGGATATAGACTGTTCTTTTCCACGCTTTAGGCCAAATGCCACTGTTCCAGATCTTCGAGCATAGTGCATGGTAGATTCGGACGCTGGCCTCTCCTCCTGCTTGAATTAGTTCTGCTGGTATTTCGTCGCAACCTGGTGACTTTCCTTTCTTCAGGCTGTTCATTGCTGATCGTACCTCATCCAGTAAAGGCTCTGGTTCTTTTTCATAACTTTCACAAGTCGTTTTTGAATTACTTGTCACATCCTCATACATTTCTCTTCAGTATTCTTTCCATCTTTCTAATGTCTTTGGTTTCCGTTAATGTGTTACCGTTTTTATCACTTATTACATGAAAAGAAGGCCAAATTCGCCTTTCAATGTTTTAATTTCTTTAAACATGTCTCTGTCTCTTCCTTGCATCTGGAGTTGTTCAATTCTATTACAGGTATTTATAATAAACTGTTTTTTATCTTATCTGATAGCTCTTCTGAGTTCTTTCGTGTAGTTTCAATATACATGGCTGGTTTTTTGTTAATGTCCCTACTTGCTAATATATCTATATACCTATAGATATAAAATGAATTTTTACTGATCATAACTTTATTTCTTCTACAGGGCCATGGGAAGACAACTTCTGTTGTGTAGAAGAGGGAGACGAGAGCCAGCATTACGCCGCCTGTAAGAAGAATCCAGTGCACGGGAATTTCTTTCCCGTCGAGAAGTTCAGTATGAATAATCTCCCGCGTTTTTACAGAAGAGAAGACGTAATGAAGTTTGTCCAACTTATGTCAGATTTAACTGTCCGTGTGTCAGTCAAGTATGTCAGTGAGAACAGACCTGAGACTGTCCCAGGAACCGACATTCCGTACCCATGGTCTGGTATCAAGGGCAGTCACCTGACCAGGGTAGGCACTGGCTGGATTGAAGGCACAGGGATATGTGATAGCCAGACATGTTGTTGTAAAGAATGTAAGAATTCTTTAGAACCAAAACCACAGTATGGTCTTATTCAAATAAGGACAGCAGCACATCTTGTTTACGATCAACTAGAGTCAGAACACACAACTTGTCATCTGTTTTTTGATTCAGGAGAAACTCCTAATGTGTGCACAAATGTCGTTACCCTTACAGATGTGCATACTTTCAGTAATAAGAACCGGCCTGATGCTTGTAAAATTATACTTTTCACTCATGACCTGGATCTTGTACTCAGTCTTCGTAATATGACCTTTCAGTACAGTGATACTTTCGATATTATGAAAAAATGCGTCAAAGAAAATGGAGCAGAATATATTAAACAAGGACATCCCCTGTATATTGTGGTCTCCCACCCTCACGGATGTGCCAAACAGATCAGCATCTGTTGCTGTGGTAACTCAGACCCAGGTAACCCTGACACAGAAGACAGCCAGTGTTCACATGCTTCCATACTTTGTCCAGGTTCTAGTGGAGCTCCTCTGGTTGATCTGTCGTGGAAATTAGTGTATCCGGTTATAGAATAATCTTACGTACAACAACATCAGTGTACATGCAACTCGTGAATTATTATACTAAAGGACAAAGTTCAGTTGCAACAATGCTCTAAAATTATCGTATTAGTATCATTGTGAAAATTATTTTATGCAATAACTTCGTGTCTCGTGTGAAATATCACAAGCTATACAGAACCAATTTTAAGACATGCCAGTTAATCCTGGACAATTAATAAACAAGCAAAACATTATCTTGATGTCTCAGAGATGCGGTTTTACAGAATAATGCTTAGAATTTATTGGACTTTTGAAAAGAGCGAGTCAGTTATTTTGAAAGAAGCGAGGACTCTAAGACAGCTTGTCACAAACATCACAAACAGATAGTTATCTTTGTTTGGTTATGTTAATAACAGAAGGAAATTTCAACACGTTACGACCACTGAAAAGATCTCTGGAAACAGAGCAGGAGAAAAGCAACGCTGTACAATTGTTGGCAGCCGTTGTCGTGGCATGGAGGGTGTCGACATCAACACACAGACACGCTCGATGAAGATCGCAGACTGTACAGAGCCGTGATGATAATGATGAGGATGATGATGAGGATAATGAGGCCATAGACATGCTGACTGTCCTAAATCTGTTTTTAATGCATTGTTTTATATATATATATATATATACACACGCACACACATATACAAAAGGGCTAGAATTGCATCGTCCTAATGTTAATTGTTATAATAATTCCTCGTGTCACTGTCTTGCTTAATTGATTGAAATTGATTTGAATGTTGTTAGAAGGCGTCCAATTATAACTAGATGGACTGTTCTTTAAAAAAACTGCATACATTTTTGTTGTCATCTGTCTTCTTATTGTATATTAAACTTGTGTATATCAAGTATGCTCTGCTTATTGCCTGTACTATACTCGATAATTTTGAGTTAGTAGTTATAGCACTAGGCAAATACCAATAAAAAAACAGACATTCATTAACTAGTGCCTGCGCAAAATAGGTGAAATATTAAATGGTATGATAGAATAACTAATGTAGAACTTTGGGAGAGAACTAAACAGGCTCCAGTGGACCAAGAGGTGAGGAAAAGACGCTGGTGTTGAATAGGACACACACTGAGAAAACAGGAGAACAGCATAACTAGAATGTCTTTGCATTGGAACCCACAGGGGTATAGGCATAAAGGAAGAAAAAAAAACACGGAGAAAAGAGCTGGAGAATGAAGTTAGAAAGATGGGGAGAACACGGGGAGAGCTTCATGTCATGGCGAAGGATAGAACGACTTGGCGTGAATTGGTTGAGGGCCTATGCTCCATTGGGGGATAGAAAGGCAGAAGAAGAAGAGAATAAGTTAAAGCCTAAGACTTGATATGGCAAGAGACGCGATATGGAAGAGCAAAATGAGTTTCGCAGTCAAGGTCAATCACTGTTATTGTCTATTTGCTTAAAGGTATGTAAGAGTTGGACTCTCATTGTGGAAATCGAAGGCAGGATTCACGCTTTCGAATGTAAAGGCTACAGACGCATTTTACGAATTAGTTATTTACAACACCACACTAATAAATATGTCAGAGACTAAATATACAAATTTGCGGGACGTCAGGAGTCTCTCTTGGCAGTGGTGAAACGTCACAAGCTAGCCTGGTTTGGGCACCTGGTGAGACATGATTCGATTGCAAAGACTGTACTTCAAAGAACATTAGGGGGGGGAGGTAGTCAAAGAAAAGGAGGGCAAATAAGAACATGAAATGACAACATCAAAAAATGGACAGGACTGAGTTATCATACACTTATTCATCAAGCAGAGGTCATAGAAAGAGGACGGATTTTATGTGCTAGTGCTTTCATCAATACGCCTACACGACCCTAATGAGTCAAGGGTTATGTTATATTATGGCCCATTGACCATGGCTCCAAAGTAAAAATTAAAGTCATGGGAAGTAAATGTGGACAGCCTGATGTGACCACATCGCCTAATGGGTGCCGATATGTCTAAAATTATGGGTTTAACACTCGTTACCCAGTGAGAGCCGCCGTGGTGTAGCGAGTAGATGCCTTCGCTCAGAAGGTCGTGGGTTCAAAACTGAACGCAGCTAGACCATTTGTTTAAATACCTTGGCTGCAAGGTTAACCCATTCTTAAATGGGTACTAGGTGAAAGTTAAGGTCTAGCATTATAAACCCAAAACGTCTAGTGGCATGGGGAAAGGCTTCTTTACGTTATTTGTGGTCGTAGAATGAAGGTCAACCAATATGTCTTCTGTGTCCTCGATGCCAAAGACTCCGAATTTCAGTCCCGTCGCTCGTTTTACTTCGTTAACCCCTTCTATTTAAATGAGCTGAGTTTAACACAATAAACATCATGCCTGAGAAGTTGCAAAATACACTATAAGACGGAAGTAATTAACTAACAATGCAGATATAAAGGACACAAAGGGGGGGGGGGGGGGGGGGGGGGACATAGGAGAACTTCTAATCAGATGGCAACTGGTACTTTTAGCATATCGACTCTTCGCTGGATGATAAGAAAGGAGACGGAGCACTTACGGAAATGTCCCGAGTGTATGGATGCCAATTCTTCATTCATTCACTCATTCGTTCGTTCAGATGGTTCATATAACATCTATCGTTGACAGAAGACAACAAAAACATTGCGTTATCTTATATATATATATATATATATATATATATATATATATATATATATATATATATATATATATATATATATATATGTGTGTGTGTGTGTGTGTGTGTGTGTGTGTGTGTGTGTGTGTGTGTGTGTGTGTGTGTGTCCACTTTAGGAATGCAATCCTGTTCCAGAACCTAATGTTGCGTGTGCATTAGTTTTAAAGATCTTACTAATTTGTATGCAGACTAATGGTTCCTTGTCTCTCAGACAGATGCACTCCAACTTCAAAGGAAGCTCCCAGTTAGTCGTTTCTTACGACATGCTTTTGGGTAGGCAGTGGGTCTATTCTTGTTTTCCCTATAACAGGGCCCCGGAACCCGCGCGGGGACCAAACAATATATACTCCACTGATCTGTTAGAATTGCCGCATACCTTCACTGTGTGGGTTGCAGATCCCTGGGACAGAAAATTAGAATATACTCTATGTCCCCGATAAACATATCATTAAATACGATTAAATAGTAGTGTTTCCTTCAGCGTGCACCTACCTGAGAGGTGAGAAACCAACAGCCTGCACTCACGTAAGCCAGATCTGTTAAACGAGTATGCATACAAAACTCAAGTCTTAGAACAAGACAACAGTCCAGAAAAGGACGAATAACTAGAATTCCCCTCTGAGTTTACAGCCGATGATCGCAAACAAACCATCAAACAAAAGATTATCGAAACCATACTAAATAATCAAATGGATTGACAAGTATAAATCACATGGAACCTCGTTGTCACCAACTCGCCTAAGAAATACAGGCGGTTAACATGAAGACAGTTTTGATACCAGCAGGGATAGTTGTTAGTTCCTGATTAGCACGCCTTTTTTAACACGAACTCGATTGCCAGTGACGTGGAACTCGTGTTCCTGAGCTTTTACTGAATCTCAATAGTGAAATGGGCAGGAAAAAAAAAGGGGGGGGGGGGGCCGGGGGCTGTTCAATATATCCACGCTTAGTTATAAACCAGATGAGTTGAAGACAGTTATATAGCATGGAGGATCATCTGTGTCAGAGTTGACTGAAAGAACACGAGACAGAAGGTTGTGTATAGACATGAACATGACTACCAAAGCCACACAATTTTATTTTAGTATATTTTTGACAACAATTCCAAGTCCAAGTCCTTTTGGGAAAAAAAAGGAAAGCTCGACCACGTTCAGACTGCTGCTAGCTAGCCTAGGCTACTAGCAGTCTCCGCCTATATTTGTGGTCTGGGTTATTTGCGTCACTTTCGTGACTGAATTTTAGTGTTTGTGCCATTTCTGGGCTTGATGCTTCCATCCGAATCAAACCGCTCGTCCTGTTGTCACTGGTGCATGTCTTCCTTCTTCTTTCTTGGTGTTTCCTGTTTGTTCTGTCTCCCTTTGATATGGCTAGGCGTATCTCGAAGGAGAGCGAGCTTCCATACACAACGTCCTTTGGACCACCATTTATTGTTTTAAAATTTTGAGTATTTAAATTTACTTTGAATCTATTTAAACACACACACTTCTTCTTTTGCCCAAAAAATATTTTCATTTGTAGCTTAGAGCGGTTCATGGAGTTATATAACCTGATTGGTATGATTTTTGCAAACACAAAATTAAACAAAAACACTTTTTGATTAACATATATTTAAAATGAATATGTGTTTAAACACTTCTGAGATTTCCTAGTCTAATTTAAAACGGTAGGAACCGCATGGCTGTATTTAGATTAGGGCCTCATCAAGCCTAAATCAGAACCTGCTTAAAGAGAACCTTAAAAAAAAGTATACTACTACATGTATGTGTATATATATATATATATATATATATATATATATATATATATATATATATATATATATATATATATATATATATATATCTTTAAAATGGTCCAGAAATGAATGGCGCTCTATTTGTTATTGAACACGTTATAGTTTGCAGTTGTGGTTTAGAGGCTAGGAACATAGTTTCACAATCGTAGACGTAAGATGGAGAGATGTACCATGTAACCATGTGATTTGTGCAATTGCTTTGAAAGCACTGTCGTTCGGGTGATCCAGGTTCGATTTTAGGTCAGGGATGGAGTGCCCGCGTGATTTCTCTAGGCATTGTCCTTTAATTCTAGACAACCCCATCTCGCTGGCTTCGAGATCTTGTATGGAAATCCCCAAAAAGTCCAAAGTGTAGGGGAATTAGGGTTTGGCTTAGCAGTTGCCGCTATTCATTTAACACTAGCTCTAACCCTAACTCCCCTATAGAGTAGTACTGTCCAATGAAACCTCTAGAAATACCCTACGAAATCTCGAAGCCGACGAGATGGTATTGTATATAATTAATTTACCGCCATGATATCATAGGCCTAGGTCCCC